AGATGAAATATGATAGTCTGCTACTAATGGGTGTTGAAGCTCTTTATTATTTATTGCTTGTAAACAGGACAAAGAATCAGAAAAGATTATATGTTTTAAATGTGATGATAATACAATCAAGTAAAAATAGAAGTCAGTAAAAATAGAAGTCGCAGGTGGAAAACGAACGGAAATGGTCTCGGATGGCGTGACGTTAGCCGAAGCTACCCGATCACCATCTTTCGAACCATCGGTATAAATGTGAGTATAATAACCATACCTAGACCGTAGCTATCTGAGAGCGACTGCAACACCACAGAGCTAGTATCTATTTTTATGTTGAGTAAGATCGAAATCGATCTTTGGGGAGATATAGCCCATGGTGGTATTCAGAATACTGCCATGGCTGATACCAGTCTCAGACAAAGGGGTTGTATGCGAATACCGCATGGTGGGTTAACTTTAGTCTTGAGCAGATATAAATGCTCGTGATATGGTCTACATATGGTGTGCAGGGTCAGTTTATCACGTCTTTTGTGCAGTGAGGGCTCATGCGCTTCGACGTATAAACTGTGTACTGGAGATGTATGTATGGACTACCAGACAACAACAATGGTGGCAAATAATTAAAATAGCGGAGCTACACTAAGCAGGGAAAATACTGACCCCAAAGCTGATTAGCCGTTTGTCCTCGATTTCGCAGGACCTGAACGAGGTCTATCATCAGCATTGTGTGTTTGTTGGTACCAGTTCCACAGTCTGCTGATCACAGACTGACACATTAAGCATGTTGGCTACTGCTTGCTGTGTAGAATCCATTCGAAGCATGTCAATAGCACGTAGACGTCCATCATGTTGAAGACATCTCATTACAAATCAAACGTAACACACTTAAGCAAAGATACGCCAAACCGTAAATCTTATGCAATAATTGATAGGAAAACAAACATGAATGGGATAACCAGCACGCGGCAGTTTTCTTCGACCCTTCCTTGAAGTATTAAATTTGACAATGAACCCCTGCCACGTGTATGGCGCTAATGCGTGTCGCAACTGCAGCTCAGTGGTTCTGTTGGGGCCATAAGTTCTTCATCTGTAAGCATAGTCTCAAACCATGTCAAGTGTCTATGACTAATTATCATATCACAACCTGCATGGGTACTTGCATTTCAATATCCCCTACTTTTTTTGTTTTTTGAAGAGTATAATAAAAAATAACGCTTGGTGTCTGTTTTGGGTTTTTTTTTTGTTTTTTCTTAAACGCAATTAATTCGTTATCATCAATATTATAAGAATAACAGGACACGAGGGCTAGAGTCAAGGCTAGTTTGTTATTTTTTTAAAATACACGTGAGGGGAAAATCACTGTGACGTATGTAACCAATCGCATAATTAATTGGATAAATTTGGTCAATTGAATAATTAATAGCAGAAGTCTAGGCATACAAAAAACGCAAGAGCTGGGCTATAAAATTAGAAACCATGTAGATTCTTGAAGAAATCGGACAAGCATTGGATTCTTTAGAGGACACCAGTAGACCCCGTTGATTCGCAGGAGAGCCATGATGTTGTATTGTTGTTCCCGAGTGATAAATAAATATCTTAGTTGCTGTCAAAAATACGTACACAACAAAAGTGTTAAATGTGAAGTCCTAGCCACTATAGAATTACAATAATATACACCAGAGACAAATCTAAACGATCACAGGGGAAACAAAAGATTTGTAGCAGAGAATATATTACACGTCGGATGTGGTAAACGACTTGGTGGCACCGCTTTCCATGTTCGACCGACGACGTATAGTGCTACAGATCTTTATATAACGTTTTCTAGCAGTAGTAAGTGGTTGTTCTAATGTACCGATTTGCTTCTACATGTTTCTTGCAACATTAAATATTAGCAATGGCTTCCTGGTGAAATTATATTGAAACATGTAAAAAGCAAATCGGTGTTATTTTTATATTTTTATACTATAATATAACGTTTTCTACATCTACGACTACAAATCCAACTACCAGTTCGTAACTATAAATTCAACTTACGTCTAGGGTGGGAGACACAGTAAGGTTCTTTACATGATCGACCTTTTGTAAAATAAAAAAAAATCATATTATAATGATAAAACTAGTTTACTGATGTGTGTGAAGTGCATCGAAACATTATGCGCGTACTACTCGTTTTGCACGTAGAATAATTGTGATCATTCGAGTATTTGCCATTTGAGATGCAACACCCAGACACGTGGGGTCAATATTGCGGCTACAGAAATAATTAAATACACAGGGGCAGATCCAGGGGTGGGGGGGCAGCTACATACTTTTTTTTGTAAATAAAAACTTTTTATGAGAAGTTTTTCCACCGTGTGCTTTATCCTTTATCGTCAGATGTGGGACAGGATGGGCACTCAAAGCGCGAGATAATGATATAGACATTATGTGATATCACAATAAGTGCACCCATGAAATTGAATCACAATGTCATTGTATTAAATCATAATACAAATTGACGTCAAACGAGATGTTGAATTTCCCTGTTTAAAAAGCTCGATGTGTGTGTATATACGCCATAATGACGATAGAGGCAATGCGTGGGGGTGGGGGTGGAGGGAGATACATTGTCTCAGGAACCTGGCAAACCCCCTCCTGCAAACATTCCTGGATTCGCCCCTGATACAAAAAAGTTAACGCCCTAAACAATTGGCATATTTGTTTTCAATACGTATCACAAACATAGCGATTGTACGGCGTACACAAACAGGCAGGCCACGCCCACATCCAGTTTATGCCTTGTCAACCACACTATCCACATCCGGCTAGCAATATTTCAACTACCAATTACCTCCTGCCAGACTTATTGACTTTTTCCACTATCAGCTTACTGAAATATCATTGCTGCACAATTATTATGTCTGATGAGGTACATATTCTTTTACTAATTAGATAAAATAAGTCAACCACGATGTACTTTTGATAACAAATCTACCAACACCAACCAATTCTATCATAACATTAATGGACATAACTACTTATCTCCCTTAAATAACAACAGGATGGTGAATATTTTGAAGTGAACACATACCTATTTGATGGAGAGAACAACAGTTTTATTGCTACTTTGGATATATTTTCGAACGATAATACTAGGAGGCTTTATAATACTAGAAATTATTTGTTGTTTCTACCTTGTTGTGCAAAACATTTCACGAAATTAGAAAAAAAAATTGGTTGGGGATGGCAGATTCGTTATTTGTTTGGGTTAAGGCAGTTTTTCATATTTTTAGAGCAAAATTACACCGCGGTTTACTTATTTCATCTAATTAGTAACTTAATATGTACCTGATCAGACATAATAATTGGGTAATCATAATAGTTGAAATATTGCTAGCCTGATGTGGGCACTGTAGACCCGAAGCTCAGTCCGGGGGGATGGGTCCATCTAATGCGGACAAAAGCAAACCCGGCTATTCTATAGTAAAGTTTTGTGTAAAATACGATGCCGAGTGGTAATCAGTCCACAGTTGGGTCGTTTTCGTGATATTCGGGGTCAAATAAGGTCATTTGCAATGAAAGTGAATGCGCAACCATTCTTGTATCATGAAAACAGTTTATTCAAAACTGTCATATGGTTATTTTGAGACTGTCAAGTGTTATTTTAAGACTGTCATCGTTATAGTTACAGTGTTATTTTGAGACCGGCACTCGTGTTTGTTGATGTTGCAATAGTTATGGTCACAGTGTAACAACGTATGGGATATTATAGTGCTGATCATTTTCGTAAACGAGAACACGTTTCGATGTCACTGTTCACTCCAAAACACCAAACACATGTAAATCTGTGATTGGTCAATCCCAGACTTACAAACAAATCAAAATACGTGTTATAGTTCATTTAACGACTACTTACCATAACAAACTCCCTCGAAACACCTCTCATAACTTGAACAGTTAGTATTTCCACATATTATTCCTAGTAATATTGCAAAGAAACATAATAATAATAAACAATTTGTATAGCACTGGGTGTTCCAGCTAATAGGTGCGCTTTACAAATAAAATACATGTAAATTAAAAAAAATGGTTTTAAAACATTGAAAAAAATTAAAAGCGTCAACATGTTCAAAGTTTAAAAACACGTTTAAAATGTTCAGTTTTAAGATTCTTTTTAAAAACAGCAAAATTATTAGATTGTTTTTACATGATCGGATAATTTATTCCACGTATTAGCTGACAGCAGAGGCGTACACTAAGGCCAATCATAATAAACCTATGGAATTTCATGGAAAGTTTTTCTCCTTTATCCCTTTTATTGTATAAGACAATAATCTTGTTAAAATATTGTGATGTATTTATTATTTATTTACTTATAGTCATATCGTTTATATTCAGTCTGTGAAGAGGTACCGGTTCGCTCCCATTGTTAGCCGAAAATGTTATTCTGAATTTTTCGACGTGATCCCCCTACCAGTGACGTAGAAGGGAGGGCTGACAAGGAAAATGTCTATTTGACCGTTGGTATTCCAATTAGCACCTCTGTCCGGGCATAATTCCCCCCATAGCACACTGTATGTCGTATGTCCGTCTTCATTAGTCCATTGGTTAAGACCCCATTTCATTGGATAAAAATGAAAGACATATACCTGGACCATTGCACATACTCAGTTGGCAGTCTTTTCCATCTTCACAATCCACAATACCACATCTAGTTCCTGAAATATTTTTTAACATAGCTTTAATACAAGTTAGCCTTTCCACTGGGTTAACATAAAATAATTCGAGAGGAAGAAAATTAGAATACCATTCTGTAATGGCTTTAATACAGGATTGGTCCGCAGTCGTTATAAATACATGGTGATATGGACACCGATCTTATGTCTTGCTCATCAGATAAAGATGTGCTGGAATGAATAGTTAGTTAGTGTTAGTTGTATTTTACGTCCGCTTCCACCGAGGTGATATCGAAGACAATGAATATTACGTCCGAGGTTTATTACGTCTAGACCTTTGATATTTAGAGTTACCTACCTTGACAATGATTATCATTACACGAAACACCTTCAGCACAAAGCTCTAGTCCACACTGTAGTCCTGTAATAAACAAGAAGAAGAATACTTCCAACAATTTACTTACCTAACAGCTGACCATCTATAATCTCGGTTATTCAGACTCTATAATATCTGAAGCTGTGCTCGCTAAGTGTGTAAGGCGCTGGCTCACTAATCAGCAGTCCGGGGTTTACCGAGAACATTGCCCGTAGTGCATGACGGGGAAGGGAGGGGGACATTCGTATGGTATGAAAGGACCGAGTTCCCGTGTACGTATTGGCTTTAAAGCATATTAAACAGTTGACAGATGGAATCCAATTGCTGTCCACGCGAAAATGAAATGAAATGGGGTTTAACGTCCTACTGTTTTGCTCCAAACTGGGCTAATGAAGACGGGCATACGCCATACAGTGTGCTATGAGGGAAATTTTGCCCGGACAGCGGCACTACGGCCTACTCTTATATCGAATTCCAACTGTCAAGGGATCTTTTACGTGCACGACAATGTGTACACGGGACCTCGGTTTTTCGTCTCATCCGAATGACTAGACAGCTGTCCTTGTCAGGCCCTCCGGCCTGCATCACTGACAAGGGGAAACCACGCCGGAAAATCGAGATGAACTTTCTCGGCCAATGCAGGGATCGAACACCCGACCTCCAGGCTAGCGAGCCAGCGCCTTACCCACTTAGCCACCGTGATCCCCCCTGTCCACGCGAAATTCCACTCATAGCACACAGCACAATGTATGTTCGTCGTCTTCAGTCCGGTCGCTCGACATTGAAAACATGAATTATTTGTCATTTTCAATTAACATTATGTTGTGATCTTACCGGGAAAAAATGTTCTTCTGATATCCAATATTTAAGACAAAATAACGTTTTACCATTGGTACACGATCCAATGTACCGTTTCAGCGCCATTTGTAACATGAGACTCGAAAAACAAGGCTAGACATATTCCACAAGTCATGTCAAACGGTGAAGCCATATTCTTATATGCGTTGCGACCCATTTGTGTCAATTTTTACTCTCAAATATTAGAAATTTATCTCCTTTAAACGATTATATAAGATTTCATTTGGACTCGTGTGTAATATGATATGTCAATAGTGTTCTTCAAATGTATCGTTCGCGGGAGCCACGGTGGCGAGGTAGGAAAGATACTGGCTCGCTAGTCAAGAAGTCAGGTGTTCGATCACTGCATCGACGAGAAGGTTCATCGGGATTTTCCGACATGGTTTCTCCTTGTCAGTGGTGCAAGACGGAGGGCCAGCTGTCTAGTCGTTCAGACCCCTTGGCCGTTGGTATTCGATATAAGAGTAGGCCATAGTGCTGCTGCGCGGGCAAAATTTCCCTCAAAGTACACAGCATGCCGTATTCCCGTCTTCATTAGCCCAGTCGGCACAAAACATTAGGACGTTAAACCCCATTTCATTTCATTGTTCATAACGCATCAGTGAGGCGTGATCATGCTATCCCCCAGCTGTTGCACTTTCACCCGTCATTTATAGCCTGGTTCGATAAAAAAAAATTGTATTTATTCGTTCACATTACCTGCATTGACACATTCTTCTACTGCACAGATCTTACCAACTTCACAGCTAGATGTAGAACAAACGTCTCTTGTCACTTAACAAATATAAAAATACAAATATAAACGTCACTCAAATCAATTTGCTCCAAGGAATTAAAAATAGAAGAGTAAAATCCAATAGAATCTGGAATGAAAAGAAAGGATTCCTTTCGTGTTTACCAAATAAAGAACTCGAACAAACTAATAAACATAACCAGGATGCCTGCACAGGTAAATAATGAGGATAACAATCCTTGCTCGTCTAGTGATGATAAGTAGCGGGGGATTTTCTCCAAAAAAGACCTCTAAATACAATAACCACAAAGGTTATACTCCCGGTAATAACCAGAACAACCAGTTTAAATATAGCCCTTTTTAGACCAGGGGCCTTTGTAGATACTTCAATTTTGGTTGGCTAAGCACTAAAATCAATCTAATATTATCCAATCAAATTACTAAAATTTGGATTTTATCTTAGTTAAAATTTCGTGAAACAAGCCCCAGGGTCACAGCAAACCACGGCGACCCCAAACAACCGAAAGAGTTATTATCAACAGAGCAGGAGACGGATACCCAGCGGATTTCATCAAGGGGATTTCCAAGAGAGGAAATACAATACAAACAGAGGAAATACCAACAATGGGACAAAGCAGATATCAAGACAGGGAACTTATCTAAATGGAGAAAATAAATCCTAAAATTATTTCTAATTTCTTCCCATAGTGTTACAGAAATTAAAATTATACTTTTACCAAGGGGATTGAAATTCACACCTACACCCAAAAGTAATATGTGTGAACTCAAATGTGATATTAAAAATTTCTGTCGAAAATTCATTCCGATTGCCGGAAGAATTCGGGGATTTAAATTATTCTAAAGAGGATTTAGTGCGCAGCAAAATTTGTTATAGTCCACGTCGCGGAAAGGATAAAACTTTAAACAAATATATCGATTTTCTAAATGATTTACCTCTACCGGAGAACAAAAAAGTAAGAAACAACATTAATAACGACGAGTATAAAGCAATAACTACCTTACAGATTATAGTTCTATTATCATCAAAGATCTGGAAAAAGGCGAATAACGAACAACGAGCTGGTTTGTTGTTCGTTATTCACCAGATATGGAATTAGTAATATAATAAAGGAACTTGTGTATGGAATACGCCGGGAGTGGGTTTTTATGAGCCTAATTGGATTATAAAACTTCAAAGTCTTTGGAAATAGAGTCTAACAACCCCTCTTTCTACCCGAAAAACGAGCTGTTTCATATTGGCGAATAACGAAAAACGAACCAGTTTGTTGTTCGGTATTCGCGAATAACGAACAACGAGCTGGTTTCGTTGTTCGTTATTCACCAGATATGGAATTAGTAACATAATAAAGGCACTTTTAGAGAGATTATGCCGAGAGTGGGTTTTTATTAGCCTAATTGGTTCATAAATCTTCAAAGCCTTGGGAAATAGATTCTAACAACCTGTCTTTCTACTCGAACAACAAGCAGTTTCATATTGGTGAATAACGAACAACGAGCTAGTTTGTTGTTTGGTATTCGCGAATAACATCAAACGAGCTGGTTTGTTGTTCGGTATTCACCAGATATGGAATTAATAATAAAATAATGGGACTTTTATAGAGAATACGCCGGGAGTGGGTTTTTATTAGCCTAATTGGTTCATAAATATTGTAAGTCTTGGGAAAAAAGATTCTAACAACATCTCTTTATTTCCGAACAACGAGCTGTTTCATATTGGCGAATAACGAACAACGAGCTAGTTTGTAGTTTGTTGTTCGGTATTCGCGAATAACGAACAACGAGCTAGTTTGTTGTTCGTTAAACACCAGATATAGAATTAGTAATATAATAAAGGCACTTTTAGAGAGATTATGCCGGGAGTGGGTTTTTATTAGCCTAATTGGTTCATAAATCTTCAAAGCCTTGGGAAATAGATTCTAACAACCTGTCTTTCTACTCGAACAACAAGCAGTTTCATACTGGCGAATAACGAACAACGAGCCAGTTTGTTGTTCGGTATTCGCGAATAACGAACAACGAGCTGGTTTGTTGTTCGTTATTCACCAGATATAGAATTAGTTATATAATAAAGTCACTTTTAGAGAGATTATGCCGGGAGTGGGTTTTTATTAGCCTAATTGGTTCATAAATATTCTAAGTTTTGGGTAAAAGATTCTAACAACCTCTCTTTATACCCCAACAACGAGCTGTTTCATATTGGCGAATAAAGAACAACGAGCCAGTTTGTTAGAATATTTATTCCCAAGACTTTGAAGATTTATGAACCAATTAGGCTAATAAAAACCCACTCCCGGCGTATTCTCTCTAAAAGTGCCTTTATTATATTACTAATTCCATATCTGATGAATACCGAACAACAAGGTAACTTCACGTCGCCGAATATGTGATGATCAATAGACCGTGTGATCTTACCTTTAGGCCAGTTATAGCTGGCACGTCGTGTGCTACCAAGAGATCATCCTATTTAATTGATATTCTTTTAAAACCCTTTGTCCCTTTTTTAAATTATAATTAACGTCTACGGGCTATTGCGTTTTAATTACCATGTTATATTATTTGAATAGACAATAGTTTTATAGGATTAGTACCATAGGTAATGCAGGGGGATATATAGAGCCAAATGAGTCAGTTAAAGGGACAACAACACTATTGCTGGCTTGACAGCTCCAGAAAATAAATAATAGCCTTATTCTAAGTATTAGATGTTTAATTGTCCTACCTGTTGTGTAAATTATCCATTAAATCCTATTTTACTTGTCCAGAGGGTTCGAAAATATTTTAAAATCCAAGCCACAGTTGAAAAGGTTTACGTTAGGCTTTTCAAATCATTTAGTTGAATTTTTCCAATTTTTTAAATTAGGTGTGTTAAGATAAAATTTGTATCATCAATTAATTGGCATATTGTAAAATAGTACAATTTGTTGTCTAGAATAAAGATTAGGGCATATTATTCAGTTACATCAAGAGTGGTATTGAGCCTTTAAGAAAGGACGATTCTACAAACCTGTCAGGAGATCAACTTAGGTCACATTCCTAAGGACGGACCTTATTTACCTGTATTTCGATATCTGGAGACATATGTTTCTGTCAATTCCCATATCCACATTGGAGCTTATTTACTATTAAGCATTAAACCAATAATTGTTATATTAATTGTCTGTTGTGATTTATGTTGATTATTGTTTACCAAAAGAATATATAGTAATATTAACAATCAACAAGAGTCCCGCCTTCATTTAGTCAACAACGAAGATCGTAATGTACACTTTTTACTTCGACACTGTAGAAGGAAATTTTAAACCCTGTTATTCTGTATTTTTCTATTATCGGTTTATTAGAAAAAAATAATTAATATAAATGCTAATGAAAGATTAAGTTTAAAGACAATTTTTAATTACATAATTGATCTATTGGTATTTAATTCATCTCTTTATTTTCTGTATTGTACTATTGTCAGATTATACCAGGAAGACTATTTGTAAATTACCAAGTTGGTTTATAAAAATTCATTTCTACTTATTATTCCTATATAGGCTATTGTAAAACTATACCAGGAAGACAATGTAAATTAATGTCATGTTATGTATTATATATTTTTAACCTTTTGTTGTACGTTACCTAATATTATTTATAATCCATTGTTATGGATATCTATTATTGTAAGAATGTATATATATATATATAGGGGAGACGTCCACGCATCTACGGGATAGAGTACGCAACCATCGACGGGATTGTAATATTGAAAATGGGCCCTTATTTGTAAATAGACATATTTTTAAATGTGCACAACACCTACAAGTAAAATTCCAAATTTTCCCTTTTTATAAAATGAAAGTCGATGACACCACGAAAAGGAAATTAATGGAAAACCATTTTATTAAACAATATGTTCCTCGACTGAATAGTCAATAAGTAACAATTGGCCATTAGCTTCATTAATTTTCTTAAATCTATCCCATGATTATCTTAAACTCATTGTTCATAAATTGAACCCTATATACTACAGATTAACACATGTGTGTACATGTTTCTATTAGTTAACGATATACTATGTAACCATAGACAATGGTAACTATAGCCAATTAAAACCACAGTGTTACTATGTAAATATGTATAAATATACTATACTGTCCATCTTTATACAATGACATTATTTATGAATAGTCCCAAGACGGACGAAAAGTACTTTAAAATGTTAAAATGTTATTAAACCAGTGCTGAAATCAGTTTGTGTCGGCATACCTTTTTTTATCTTTTCATCATTTACCGTGAAACAAAGTAGTGCAGCTTTGCGGTTGTGCTAATAATTTTGGATATATATATATATATATATATATATATATATATATATATATATATATATATATATATGTACCGTATTTGCAATATCGTGTATACATTATTAATATCTGAAGACGCCTAAAGAGGGTAGACAGCTAGCTTATATGATTTAATGTATGTCAGTATGAAGTAAAGTGGAGAATTTGTTACCTTGACGTATTTTGTATCAAATATTATTCTTTAAAGATGCATTATGGCAGTTCTCGATTTGATAGTTTCCAAAATACATAAAGAAATGGCGATCGTGTTACAATCCATTTAATTTTATAACCATCTAATAGTCTAGAGAGGTGATGGGCTGATCATATGTGAATATAAATATATGTCTAATTTATAATTTAAATAAATAGAGGCCAAAATAAAGATCTGCAAATGCCTGACCTAGCCCTCGCATAAGTTTGATGGACATTTTAGTTAAAAACCGATTGAAAAATAAAGTTAACAAAGCCTTACCCTCTTTGGTTTTTACTTCCTGTTTTCGTTGATTCGTGTCACTCTTGGCTATAGTTACAGCAACCAACATGAAAACAACCAGAAACCGCATCTTTGATTTCTAGAAGATATCGATATACAGGGTATGATAAGCAAGATTTGAATGTGTAGATTTGAACCTTCGAGATGTCTGTTATACAAACCAGCTGACAACAGGTGTGGTTAATATCATTTGTTTAATGTTAATATATTGAAAATTTTATGACAAGAATTGCAAATAATTTGCTTTTGAATTTTTGATGTCAAAGGGATGGGATTTGTTGGATGTTTTAAATTGAAATTTTTATGATAGAAATTCTCTTTGTTTTATTTTATTCAAAGTCAGAAAAGACAATTAAAAACTGAAGTATGTCCTACGTTATCGGGACAAGGGATGGGGAATCATTTGACTAGCCTAATTATTGGTGAATAACGAGAACATGATAGCTCGTTAACGGCCATTCAAATTGATACTCTGGATCGCAAATAATTTGCTTTTGAGTTTTTCTTTTCAAAGAGATCGGGATTGTTCGATGTTTTCAATTGAAATTTTTATGACAGAAATTGTCTCTGTTTTAATGGAAATTTATATTCTGAATTCAATATTGAAGCTAATCATTACTAGAATGATTATAACACATAACACCATTATGATGAATAAAAGTTAATTAAAAGATTTATTTCTGGCAGCGTGTCGATGAGTCATGTGTTATTCCAATCAAGTTACTAAACAACTAGAAGGAATGATGTGTAGTATCTAGTATCCCCCAGAGGGGGGTTCGGGGATGGAGGGTCGGATGGGAATGGTTAGCATGTGCGCGTTGTATCATAGGGTCTGTCATTGAGTCAACTGGCGTGGTTTCGATTCCCTGGTCTCAATTATACCATCCGAACGAATAGCCACTGTCCGTGCCCGCCCCCCGCCCTGTATCAATGACAAGGGAGGGAGAACCACGCCCGATGATATTGGTTACATTTTTTAAATATATTTCTATGGGTTATATATCATCGTCAGCTAGTATACACATTGGCAAAACTGTGCTTTATAATATTTTTCTACATGATTAGCCCCATCGCTGTAATTTGCGGGGGGGGGGGCTGTCGTTATTGCAGGCAGGGACAGTTTCTAATCGCTCGGATCGGTCGATAACCCTTGGCAGCTGTAAATCGAAATGAGAGGAGTTGACCTTGGGTTATATTTTCCCCATGGCACACTGTATGGCGTAAGTCCGTCTTCATTAGCCCAGTTGGTGTAGAAACGTAGGTCGATCATCCCCATTTTATTTTGGTTTAATTTTTTCAAGAACACCACTATCTATGAAATTACGTATGGCTTTATGCAACTTGAATACTATATTGTTGGAAAAAAAACTTGCATAAAGTTGGTCAGGTCAGTATAATGAAGGCATCCGAAATATAAACTTTATCGCTATCCACATGCACAGATTGTCCCGGTCTCCTGTAAAGGCAGTTCCATCCCCACAATACGGGGTTCCTAAATGTATAAATTTGAACCATTTAATTTATAATTATTAAGTGATAGTTTTGTTAGAGCAGTAATATAATACAGATCAACAGTATATAAATATTAATATTGGCTTAACTGTAAAAAAAATTCTCCAAATACATAACTTCACTTCAAAAAAAAAATATTAAATGTTGTTTAGCTTATATTTGAAATTGTATTTGCAAACCATATCACGTTCAATGTTGTTTTCAATTTAATATCGATTCCCCGGTTGTACGTGACAATGACTAGTGTCGTCTGTCCAACCTCGTGGGTTCTCTACCGGTCCACCGGTTTCCTCGCACTGCTAAAGACCCCTATGCGCAAGCGAATTACTGAAATAAAATTGAACCATATGTTAGTCCCGAAATGACCTAGTTTGTGTCACGGGTATCTTTAATCATTATATGTTAGAATTGAGTTAAACACGCTAGCTAGATAATTACGGAACAATTCTGGGACACTATCTCCAGCAGCATAGCACACCAGCTATAGTTGAAACGCAATGCAGATTGGCAACAATTAAAAACACTAGTCAGATAACAACGGAATAAAGAGGGAATGCTACCCCCAAGTAAAGTAAGTTATAGTTGAAAAACAATGCAGATTGACAATAACTATGTAAGACCAAACAACTCTTAATCATGTGTTCTTAATTCATAGTCCTAATTTTCTTAATTCTTCATTGGTTGTCGTGTTTCGACATTCGTAAACTAAAACTAACATTTATAGTTTAAAATCAATATTTGTTTAACAAATCATAAAATTTATTTTAGTAAATTATAAATATAATCTACATTTACATACAGCGAATAACAAATCTCGAGCAACAAATTTCCAAATTCAAACCTTGCAAAACATTTCTCCAAAAACATTTCTTCAAAAACATTTCTCCAAAAACATTTCTAGAAATTCATCAAACCTGAACAATATGACGACATTGGTCGAAATCAACCTGGCATACATTAATTCCCCATACAATAAAGGAGAATCGAGCTCGATTACCGTGACTTTGTAGCAAGCAATAAACATACTATCCAGCAATATATGAACAGATAACGAGAATGTCCCCTCACTTAATAAAGTTTAGTACCGTGAAACTTTGATCTTTTTTTCAAGGTATGTAAATATAAATATGCCAGAAAATAACGTGAAAAGTTGTACGGCATTAGACTCTTTTAGGTGAAGGTGTGTGTGTGTGTGGGGGGGGGGGTCTTAAATGTTAAAATACGGGCCATACGACGACATTCCAGATATCACACAGAATACCACTGAAAGGAAATTTTATTTACCTTTTCAGAAATGTAAATTATATTCTGGCACATTTAAATTTACATAGCTTGAAAAGGGTATTACAGTTGGATGACTCTAAAGCCTATTAAGTTAGTGAGGGGAGGGGGTATTTACAAATTAAAATATGGGTTGTTGTGTAACGCATGAAAGGAACGTTTTTTTATTCCTCTTTCAATATATTACTTATTCCCTGGCATATTCATGATTGCATGATTTAGAAAAGATAAAACACTCTTTCTTTTGAGCAAAGAAATATGTTGCTATCAGACAGAACCTGGCCTGATTAGCAATACTACGCACGTAGATTCCCCAGAGTCGCTGTCATCGAGCGATTTTCCTTATTGTATATATGCTTGCTCGATTCCCCATTATTGTATGGTGACTCATTGTATGCCAGGTTGATTTCCACTCGTGTCATCATAATGTTCCGCTTCGATGAATTTCGAGAAATGTTTTTGGAGAAATGTTTTTGGAGAGATGTTTTTGGAGAGATGTTTTTAGAAAAATGTTTTGCGAGATTGGTATTTAGAGATTTGTATTTGGAAATTTGTTGTTCGAGATTTGTGTTTCGTTGTATTTCTCTGATTTTTTGATTTTCTAAAATAAATTTTGTCTTTATATAAAAATACAATTAAGTTAAACAAAAATATATTTTACAAATCTGATATGACATATGTCTGATTTGTAAAATAAATATTGATTTTGAGGTACAAATGTTTGGGGGTTTTTTTGTTTTTGTTTTGTTTGTTTTATTTTGTTTGTTTTTTAGTGTAAAAATGTCGAAATACGACAACAAATGAAGAAATAAGAATTAAGGACAATTTATTAAGAACTAAGAACACTGAATAAAGAGCTGTTTGGTCTTCCATAAATAACGAGATGTATGCCATATGATTAATAACGTTAGGCGAATATTATGAAGCGCAATTAAATTGTTTTCAATATTTGGAAGATAATAGGATACGAGGCATGTTACCCATCTAATTTGTTTATTGGAAATGCAATTGTGATGGAAATTTACCAGATATTTTCTCAAGATCAGCGTCCATTTTGGGGTAATGCTTGACGTAATTAATTAATCGATTATTTAATAGTAGAAATCTAGGGACATAATACGCAAGATCTGATAGATTATTGTATAAACCTTTGTAACCTGTTCCCATATAAAACTGTATACAAAACAAAAAACTATGGTATTGTATCTCCTTATAAACATACAATTTGGCTGCTGTAAATACGTACTTAACAGGAAGTCAAAGAGAATTACAATAAATTCCACGTCAGAATCAAACACAGGCGGTAACAGTTCAAAACAAAAGTTGTGTGGTTTGTCGTGCTACAATATTGTTCGTAATTCGTAAATACGGCGAGCCACCACGTTATTTGTTTTCCGTTATTTACCACTTGAATACCAATATTTGTTTACGTCATTAAAGCCGTTTTAAACCGCTTGGGGATACTTAAAATCCATCACTCTCTAATGTTGTCTAGCTGCAGTGTGTACTCGAATCGTAAAATATCTATGAAACCCCAAACCGGAAGTGAACGAAATTTTGCTCGCTATGATATAATATTAATCTATCTATATATATATATGTGTGACTGTCGTTTGTCTGTCTGTCTGTCTGTCTGTCTGTCTGTTCGGGGTTGGCGGCTACACTAGGTCTGCCCCGAGTCTGAAATTTGGGGTATAGGGGTAGCTCGGACCGCGGAGTAACATAGGCCAGGTGGCGTTAGTCTACCACTTCCGGTTTCGGAGTTATGACCACCGAGCGAAGTCTGTCTGTTCGGGGTTGGCGGCTACACTAAGTCTGACCCGAGTCTGAAATTTGGGGTATAGGGGTGGCTCGGACCGCGGAGTAGCATAGGCCAGGTGGCGTTAGTCTACCACTTCCGGTTTCGGAGTTATGACCCCCGAGCGAAGTCTGTCTGTTCGGGGTTGGCGGCTACATCTGCCCCGAGTCTGAAATTTGGGGTATAGGGGTAGCTCGGACGGGGGAGTAACATAGGCCAGGTGGCGTTAGTCTACCACTTCCGGTTTCGGATTTATGACCCCCGAGCGAAGCCGGTCTGTTCGAGGTTGGCGGCTACACTAGGTCTGCCCCGAGTCTGAAAAATTTGGGGTATAGGGGTAGCTCGGACCGGGGAGTAACATAGGACAGGTGGCGTTAGTCTACCACTTCCGGTTTCGGAGTTATGACCCCAGAGTGAAGTCTGTTCGAGGTTAGCGGCTACACTAGGTCTGCCCCGAGTCTGAAATTTGGGGTATAGGGGTAGCTCGGACCGGGGAGTAAC